CTCCCGGGGAAGTACTGCCCGCTCCATGATCTCGCCATCACGGTTGACAACTCCATTGTGTCCTCCTCCCAGAGTGCAAAGAACCTTGGCGTGACCCTGGACAACACCCTGTCGTTCTCCGCTAACATCAAAGCGGTGACCCGATCCTGCAGGTTCATGCTCTACAACATTCGCAGAGTACGACCCTACCTTACACAGAAAGCGGCACAGGTCCTAATCCAGGCACTTGTCATCTCCCGTCTGAATTACTGCAACTTGCTGTTGGCTGGGCTCCCTGCCTGTGCCATTAAACCCCTACAACTTATCCAGAACGCCGCAGCCCGTCTGATGTTCGGCCTTCCCAAGATCTCTCATGTCACCCCGCTCCTCCGCACACTCCACTGGCTTCCAGTTGAGGCTCGCATCTACTACAAGACCATGGTGCTTGCCTACGGAGCTGTGAGGGGAACGGCACCTCCTTAACTTCAGGCTCTGATCAGACCCTACACCCAAACAAGGGCACTACGTTCATCCACCTCTGGCCTGCTAGCTCCCCTACCTCTACGGAAGCACAGTTCCCGCTCAGCCCAGTCAAAGCTATGCTCTGGCACCCCAATGGTGGAACAAGCTCCCCCACGACGCTAGGACAGCGGAGTCACTGACCACCTTCCGGAGACACTTGAAACCCTACCTCTTTAAGGAATACCTGGAATAGTATAAAGTAATCCTTCTACCCCCCCCTACCCCCCCCACAAAAAAAAGAGGAAAAAAAAGTGGTTGTCTCATAAGTTGAATGCACCAATTTGTAAGTCGCTCTGGATAAGAGTGTCTGCTAAATGATGTAAATGTAAAATGTAAATAAATCCTGTCTGTGGGGTATGTCAGTTGGGGGGTACATCATTGAAGAACTCCAGGGCTTGGATTAGGAGGGCCCATAGGGGAAAGACCACTATGATACAGCATTTTAACTACTATCAGAGCAGAAATTGTTTTTGGCCGCGGAGTGAGGCTTTTAATGGCAGTTACAGAAAAATGACTTAATTTTTCATTGACTTCACAAACGCTAATGAAGAATTCGGACAGGTATAATGCAACGGACAGGTATGAGTTATTACATGTTATAAGCATTTGCCTTATTATAATGCTCATAATATGTCTCGTGGTGTACAGCAGGTTAGCCACCATGGGGAGACTCGTCGAGGCCTGGTGACAGACATCACGCGGCGATGGCTCCCTCTGCTGGACGTGCCAGGTCTCGACGGGCTCTCCGGCCAGGACTAATTGGGGCTGATTGTGGTTGGTGAGTAATCAAGGGGCTGATTGCTCACCAGCTGGACAAGTCCTATGAAGCTGCCAGAAGGGCAGCACACAGGAGTGGGGAAGAGAGGTTACTCCCGTATAGTCGTGCTCAGTACCAGAAATAACGGAGGGAGCTCGGTTTTGATCCCCACAGGATACAGCAAGACCCCGGAGCCCAGAAGACAGTATCCCGGAGGTCGTCTCCTGGAGGAGACCTGTTATTTTCTCTTTGTTTATTATTTAAGTAAACACCCTTGAACCGAGCTAATACAATTCTGTCCGTTTCTGATCTGTGTAAACGTCTTGACCAAACCCCCTGGTCTGCCACACTCTCTATGTAGCAAAACTGTTTCAAAATGGCTGTTTAGTCAGTACAAGACATTGAAAGGGGGTCATAAATGCTTATGACAAGTCTTACAATGCATTATAACCACAGCCTTAAGTGTTAGCAGCTGATCTATTCTTTCAACAGCACACCTAGTAAAGTTGTTTTTCTCCACATTTATATGTAACATTCATCTGGACATAATCAAATGCACTTAAAATGCCCTTGGAGGTATGTCAAGTGCATACTGGTGTGATGTCCTGTAGCATGAAACTTACAAAGTGGCAAATGATACCCAGGAACGTCCATAGATCTGAAACAGCCCTTAAAGCTCATTCATCACTGCTAACACTGCCACCAATGAAATAAATGTGATCGGTTGCCAAAGGATTGTGGTTTGTCGTTTATCTTTTACAGTCCATGGTAAATGGGGGTCCATTTTCAGTTTTGTGTGAACAGTCTCCAATTGCTGAAGATACACCATTTTGTATTTCAAAGGGCCACAATGGAAAATCTTACCCTGAGAACACAATAGCTCAAACGTGAAAAGTGTGGGTTTACATAATTGTCCGGTATAATCAGCTTAAATGGGGACCAGAGCGAAAAGTGTGTTTAACCAAGGAACCAAGCAGATTCACCACTTCAGTCTAGGAGATTATGTCACAAGGAAGAGCTTGAGAGAACTGAAGAGAAACACACTTCATTTGCTGGCCTAAATGTCACACAGAATGAAGCATACAGTGCATTCGGAAAGTATTCAGACCCCTTTACTTTTTTCCCACATTTTGTTACATTACAGCCTTATTCAAAAATGTATTAAATAAACATTTTTCCTCATCAATCTACACACAATCAGTGGCGAACCGTCATTCAGGGCAGAGCCTGTTTTGCATGTTATTTTGGCATTAATACGTGTCACATATCAATTTGCAAACAATGTAAAAAGTAAATAAATATTTGAGTTAATAAAGCCGCATACAAACATGCTCTCGTTTTTGCTTTCTTGAGTAAGGCAGCTCCAAAATGCAGGTGTTTCAGCCTAGCTCAGTGCTTTCTATTGTGGTGGGGCAGCCAGCGGAAAATAAGGCGCGTAGGGGTTGGTAATGTTCTCTAGTTGCGCCGTGATTGGCTCAGTGTTCTGTCATTCATGGGGACACTGCAAAATCTACAGGGAGAGCAAAAAAATTCAAGCCCCTTGGGTGCTGCCATAGAGTTACATTAGAAGTGCCCCATCCAAGAAGGCTCAAGGTCATTGGCCACAGATAAAATGACGTCAAATCACATTATACCTACAGTAGCTTTGATTGGACTGATCATGTCAACATACTTTCAAAATCTTAGCTAGCAAGCTAGCAGTCATCATTATGAATCAAGTCGACAATCTACTGGCAAATCCTTTTCAATCCTGGTCATATGCAGAGAAATTAAGAAGAGCAATTATAGATAAAACGTATCGGTGCTCATCGGCCATTAGACATAAACATTACACAAGTTGAAAATCGCAAATTCAACAATGAGCTGTATGGAAGGAATCAGTGGCTAACTGCAAGCATTGCAAAGCAATCACTAGCCTGCTCTTCAGTGGAGTGGATGTGTGGTCCAAGTCTGGGTTTAAGGGTCTCTTTTCCAAGCTTAAAAGGATAAACATTCAACATTGGCCATGCTGTCAAATCCAGCATGACTTCTGCCGCTTTCAAATCAACTGGAAACTCGGAAATCTCAGACTTCAGTGTGTTCAAGACAACTGGGAACTCTGAAAAAAATGAGCTCAGACTGGGAAAATTCGTTTTGAACAGTGATCCAACTCGGAATTCCAGGTCGGGAACTCTGGCCTCTTTTAGAGCTCCGACCTGAAGATCACTAACGTCATGATTCAATCTTGTTTTTTTTCAGAGTTCCCAGTTGTCTTGAAAGCACCATAAATCCAGAGAATGCCAGACTTTGATGACAAAATTTGCCCACGAAGGACCGCCGTGCCACCTTCCTGTTCAAGTGAGCACAGCACAACAAGGGGAGTCCAAAAATGTATTGTATGCTGCTGCATAAATTATGTAATATGCCAGGGAGATATGTATACTGTATGTTGTGTAGTAAGCTGTTAGTAGCCCATGTGCCTCACCCTAATAATTTGGTCATCGAATATTGTAAGAACTTTCATTGTCTGCTTATATGCCTCCTTTATTTATCCTACGGTTCTGACGTGGTGTACAAGGAGAATACGGTAAGAACGGCCCATGTTCTGAATTCTGTCGCTATACATTTCAAAAGTGCTGAACAAATCATTATATTGACTACGTCGGTCCTAGCTCGCTCATGAATGCCTTAAATCGAAATTACAGACTGCCTCTTCTCCGCTCGTCGTTCCCTTACGCCATAGTTTGTACATCTCAATTGTCAGTAGAAACCACATTTGTTTAAGCAAGTCAGCCATATCAGCTATATATTTTTTAAAGGCAGTAAATGAGGCTGAGTGAACTGTTTCGCTGCCAGACAAGGCTCCGCTGATAGCCAGGTGTAACAGTGGTAAAGTGTTGGGACTGCTGTTGGGACAGCTTTATGTAGGCCCTAACAGTTTGTGGTCACCGTTATAGTCAAATTAATGTATCGTTTAGTGTTGTGGCTTTGCTGGCATGCATCTAACATTTATTTTGTTTGTTTACCCCACCAAAAACAATCGCCACTGCACACAATACCCCATTATGACAAAGCAAAAACAGGTGTGCTTAGGGTCGTTGTCCTGTTGGAAGGTGAACCTTTGCCCCAGTCTGAGGTCCTGAGCGCTCTGGAGCAGGGTTTCATCAAGGATCCTTCTACCTCATGGCTTGGTTTTTGCTCTGACATGCACGGTCAACTGTGGGACCTTATATAGACAGGTGTGTGCATTTCCAAATCATGTCCAATACAATTGAATTTACCACATATGGACTCCAATCAAGTTGTAGAAACATCAAGGATGATCAATGGAAACAGGACCCACCTGAGCTCAATTTCGAGTCTCATAGCAAAGGGTCTGAATACTTATGTAAATAAGGTATCTGTTTTTTAATAAATTTGCTAACATTTCTAAAAACCGGTTTTCACTTTGTCATTATGGGGTATTGTGAGTAGATTGATGAGGGGGAAAAAAGATTTAATCAATTTTAGAATAAGGCTGTAACGTAACAAAATGTGAAAAAAGTCAAGGGGTCTGAATACTTTCCGAATGCACTGTATCTACTTGAAGTACCTCACAGTGACAATGAATAACAGCCCACTGTTGATTGTGCAACTTGCCGACTCAACAAGTATTTTGTAAAGCAACATAGAATCTTCATTACAAATGTCTGGTTTATGTTATTTTATTTAAAAAAGGAAACAAAAGCTAAAAATGTACTAAAAGTATCAGCACCTTCACAAAAAGAAAGCACAATACATAACTTTACATTATTCGCAAGAGTTGAGTCTGAGTTTCTATTAACAGATATGATCAAGTCAGTCAGCATTGTCTATCATGAGGGATATGAGTGCATCAAAGCAGTATTACCAGGTAGAGCTCACTTAGATGGTGAATCCATAGAATTGACAAAGCCTAGATTTCATTCTGACCCATACACTCTACCCATGGCACCGTTCATTTACCACATCGCATCATCTCATCAGAAATTAGTAGCGGCTTGAACCACTACAGGGGAACGGATTGGGATTCAACACTAGAAATGGTTAAGGCTCCTTGAAAAGTCTCTGATCTGGGATCAGAAGTAATTTTTCTAATTCATGGGAGTAGAGATGTGGCATTGATACTGGATCAGTATAACAATCAAGCATTGAGTTAGTTAACATTATGGGGGCTGTAAGAAGGGACCAGTGGAATGTCTATTGTCACGTTTGTGTGTGTGTCCACAGAGGGCCCATAGGAGTTGACTAGAAGCAGTGGTGTGCCGCAAAACGTTTCCTAACCTTGATCATTTTTTTTGAACACTCACTTAGAAACATAACCTGTGGAATGTACCTGGAATTTTGACTTGGGAGCACCTGTGCCTGTCAGATAATACATTAAATGGTACATTGTTACATCTGTATCATTGTTTCAAGTCCAGTGTGCTCAGGCTGTTACATTTGTATAATTTGAGGGGCGCGCATCACGAGCAAAGTCATTTGTATAATTTTACTTAGTCTGTGATAACCATTAGCACAGGTAAGTCTGATTAGGCTTAGCCAGAGTAATTTACTTCTTAATATATGGCTCTGAGCTTAGCTATCCCACAGCCTCTGCCATAGAAACAAACGGAGCTTGGCTTTGTGTCCGTGGTTAAACCTCTAGCACAGACCGTTCAAAACTAAATACCTATTTGCCTAATACATACCTTTTATTCTTTCTGGCGCAGATTCGCGGGACGCTCTTAAAGGGGTACACACACAAATGAACCATCATGAGTAAGGAACAATGAAAACTATGAAAATACTTAAAATAAACCCTATTTAATAAACATTTGTCACAGAAAATAGATGATTTGCAGTATGGATCAGATGAGATGGAGGTCATTACCACAAAATAAATTAATAGGGACATTTCTGGTGTGCCGCAGAATTTTATATCCCATCAAGGTGTGCCACGGTTCCAAAAACACCACTGGACTAGAGGCTCTGTAGTAGCTCATTGCTGCTTCTCTCTACCAGGCAGGGGCAGTGTTGGCAAGTCGTCTCATGCGCCTGAAAGGAAAACACATTAAATAGGTTCCTATGTTGCAGATGGGCTGGCATAAATACAACACAGTAGAGAAGATTCTTAGATTGGAAATCTGATGATGTAGGACAGTAGTTTTCATACTTTTCTGACCAAATACCCTATTCCAAATTATAACTGGTTTTGCACAGACCAGAGTGGTGCAGTCCAAAATAAAATGTGTCTGATTTTAAGGAAAAACCTGAATCTTGTTGTCGCTTCCTGAACATTTAATCTTTAAGTATTTTGTTCATTAGTCCACTGTTAATACAGTCCCCCCAAAATTGTGCATATCAGCAGTCAAGTGTTCACATTAGAGAACAATAAAGAATAAATCTTAGAAATTTGACTGATGACATGCAGAATTATTTGGGATTGTATTAACAGCGGACTAATGAACAAAATACTAAAAAGAGTTTGAGTGTAGTAGTCCTTTAAACAATTCTACAACAGTGGACATAGAGACGAGGTGAGGGCGCTAGTCGTAGGGTAAGGCTCCATCTCAATTCGTCTTTCTGTGATTCCTTGCATCCCATCTCCTCACCCGTATTGGGGGAGAAGGTTGAGGGAAGATGGAGGAAAAATGGAAAGATGAATTGAGAAAAAACCTAGGTTTTGAATGCCAGGCTGTCTGTCTCTCTGTCACCTGGTGTTCCTGTCCTGGTCCCTGATCTTCTTCTCCATCTCTGCATCTGTCAGAGTCTCCAGCAGTGGGCACCATGTGTCAGCGTCGCCTGTGTTGCGGATGGCAATCTCCACCGTTGGCAGGGGGTTCTCACTGCAGAAAATGACATCAGGGAGACAGGAAATGAGATGCAAATGAAGGAACAGATGGGATGGGACATGCTGCAGTCACGGTGTGTTGAAGAAGTGGGAGAGCAAATAAGAGGCATCTTGGAGGAGAAAAACAACACTTGTGAGTTTGTGCCATTTTGATGAGGAATAGACATACCCTTGATCCAAACGGACAGAGATGTGACTTATTCAAACTTTTTAAAAGGTTTTTGGAAATTCCATAATCAAATTGTGTGACGATCATGTTTTTGTGTTTTTCCCCCGAAGATGCCATCTTGATAAGTAAAAGCACAGATTCACCACTAGCACACTCAGCCAAAGCAATGAAACAGTCATAAAGCATCCATCAAGCAAACGCTGCTCGAACCACTACGGCATTTTACATACCTTTTATCCCATGGTATGAGGGATTCTAAACTAACATGCAATTTCAGTTTGACAAATGAAGAACTGGGAGAGTAGATAAAGGCACCAATGGAACCATTTTACATAGTTACAATAAGCCACACAGTTCTTGACTGTCCCTTCCATTCTCTGTGTGTTCTACTGAGCCATTTACTTTATGTTTGTCCTCTTATCTTTTATTATTTCTTATCATTGTTGCATTGTCTAGAAAGAACCTGCAAGTAAGCATTTTGTTGGACGGTGTATACCATGTGTACCCTGTACATATAACTAATCAAACTTGAAACTTGTGTGGAGTGCAGTTTGTAGACCAACCAACAGTGATAACTACATAGTTTCCCTGACTTGGCAGAAACAGAATATCATACAACATAGGCTTTTTTATTCATAAAACAAGTAAATAGGGTTGCCTTTGGGGGTTTTACTTTGGGGGGGGGGACGAGCCCTGCAAAGTCAAGTCAACAGATGAGAGAGAGATAAAGTGTAAATGTACTCAGCTTCCCAGGGCAGATCGTGAGAGAACGTGGGTGGTAGAGGGTTTAGCTTGAGGGGAGAGGGGGAGTAGTTCAAGTAATTCAAAAGCATATTGACCTTAAATCAGACCTATAAAAAACAGACAAGTGGGGGGAGAGAGTAGAAAAGATAATTAAAAAGGCATGTTGATGATGTTAGAAAAACGCCTCAGTCCTCATTTACGCACAATCAATGACTTGAAAATGACTCAAAAGCATTGGCATCAGGGTTGGCAATCGATTACAAATTTCTCCATTTGCGATTTCAGTTCATTTCATGAAAATGTCCATTGGTGAAATGGAATTGAGCACAACTGTTTGATAAGCAGGTGACACACAATGGAACAGCCCAAGTGAACAAAACGTCCCAAATTAACAGAGCCAAGCTGATGTGATGAGAAACAAATACAAACAAACGGGCTGTATGTCTGTGTCACTGTCGGGGAAAATCTGTACAATGTTAAGACATTTCAATATGTAAAATGATCGCCATTATACGCTAAAGGAACCGTTTTAGGGTTTAGTTGGCTGGAAACTCCCTATGGATGAGGTCTTTGTTTTGGTGGAAAAACATATGGTACCCGTGCTTGTGAATAATGGATGAAGGCTAAAGGGTGTGTGTGTATGTACTCTGTTGTGTAAACATGATGCAAGCTGTCTGTGTTTGAAATTGAAATCCTTAACAGACCCCAATTTGTGAGTCATAGGCAGGCAGCCAACTTTTAAACCCCTCCCCATACACTCTCTTAAGACACCACACAACACATACAAATGCCTCAACCTGACCCCATGTTCATGTCACTGTGAGATATAGTTCATCTTACAGAACACATACAGTGCCGTCAGAAAGTATTCACACCCCTTGACTTTTTCCACATTTTGTTGTGTTACAGCCTGAATTTAAAATGGATTAAATTTAGATTGTTCTTGTCACTGGCTTACACACAATACCCCATAATGTCAAAGTGGAATTATGTTTTTACAATCCTTACAAATTAATAAAAATGAATGTCTTGAGTCAATAAGTATTCAACCCCTTTGTTATGGCAAGCCTAAATAAGTTCAGGAGTAAAAATGTGCTGAACAAGTCACATAATAAGTTGCATGGACTGACACTGTGTGCAATAATTGTGTTTAACATGATTTTTGATTTTCTGTACCCCACACATACAATTATCTGTAAAGTCCCTCAGTCAAGCAGTGAATTTCAAACAGATTCAACCACAAAGACCAGAGAAGTTTTCCAATGGCTCGCAAAGTGCACCTATTGGTAGATGGGTAAACATTGAAAAAGCAGACATTGAATATGCCTATGAGCATGGTGAAGTTACTAATTACACTTTGGATGGTGTATCAATACACCCAGTCACTATATAGATACGGGTGTCCTTCCTAACTCAGTTGCCGGAGAGGAAGGAAATCGCGCAGGGATTTCACCATGAGGCCAATGATGACTTTAAAACAGTTACAGAGTTGAATGGCTTTGATAGGAGAAAACTGAGGATGGATCAACAACATTGTAGATATTCCTCAATACTAATCTAACTGACAGTCGAAAAAAAGGAAGCCTGTACAGAATACAAATATTCCAAAACATGCATCCTGTTTGCAACAACGCACTAAAGTAATACTGCAAAAAATGTGGCAAAGCAATTCATTTTTTGTCCTCAATACAAAGGGTTATGTTTATGAAAAATTCAATACAACGCATTACATTACGGAGTACCACTCTCCATGTTTTCAAGCATAGTGGTGGCTGCATCATGTTATGGGTATATGCTTGTAATTAAGGACAGGGGAGTTTTTCAGGATAAAAAAGAAATGGAATGGAGCTAAGCACAGGCAAAATCCTAGAGGAAAACCTGGTTCAGTCTGCTTTCCACCAGATACTGGGAGATTAATTCAGCTTTCAGCAGGACAATAACCTAAAACACAAGGCCAAATCTACACTGGAGTTGCTTAGTAAGAAGACAGTGAATGTTCCTGAATGGCCGTGTTATAGTTTTGACTTAAATCTACGGCAAGACCTGAAAATGGTTGTCTAGCTATGAAACCAATTTGACAGAGCTTGAAGAATTTGGGAAAGAATAATGGGCAAATGTTGCACAATCCAGGTGTGGAAAGCTCTTAGAGACTTACCCAGAAAGACTCACAGCTGTAATCGCTGCCAAAGGTGCTTCTACAAAGTATTGTCTCAGGGGTGTGAATACTTATGTAAATGAGATATTTCTGTATTTCATTTTCAATACATTTGCCAACATTATGGGGTATTGTGTGTAGATGGGTGAGAAAAAAATATATTTAATCCATATTGAATTCAGGCTGTAACAACAAAATGTGGAATAAGTCAAGGGGTATGTAACATAGTAAAATACATCACACTGACAATTTTAATTGCGGGAACTAAATGTGTTCTGGCCTTAATCCAGCAATTATCCATGATGCAGGCGACCTTACATCTTGAGTGTTTAAAATATCTATTCTACAAAACAGAATGGGGAATGCTGCATTTAGGCTGAAAATGTGTATGTGTCATGACGAAGACCTTCCGATCAAAGAGTTGCAAAATATGCGTGTGCGGTTATTTCTAACTCTCCAACTTTCCATTTTGACAGTACACTGGGCAACGCATAGGAGCGTGTGTGTGAACTGTGAAGGTTCTGGCTGAGTCCATCAGCGTCATTAAGTGTGTGAGGGAGTCATCTGGTCTGTGTGTCCATACGTGTGTATTTAGTGTTGTTTTTGTTTGTTTGGGTGTGTGTGTTTGTGTCTGTGCAAATGCATATATTGCATTTATATGCATGTATTGAGCATCTGTGTTACCTGAAGGCGTACGTCCTCTGGTGCCAGCTGAGCTGGCCGCGAATGCTGTAGGCAATGGTGGTAACAAACTCTCCTCCCAGGCCCAGCTCGGAGCACAACATCAGGGCAAACGACTCCGGAGAGTTCTCCCTCTCCGACATGTCCCACTCAAACTGGTCCACCAGGGAGATGTTCCCCACGTGGATGTTCAGCTGAGACACAAACCCAATTAAGAAATACAGTATGTATAGGAGTGATGTTATGACAAACTGGTGGGCCGCAGGCCAGACGCAGACCCTTGATTTTACTATTGAGATGCAGCCTTTGGCCTGTGCTCCCATTGCAGCAGTGAAGTGTTACTGTGTGTGCCCACCTTGATGATGACCCTCTGGTCTGTCTGTTCATCCAGGATGCTGTCTGTGGGGTAGGACTCTATCTGCTGGCGTATAGCTGAGGCGATGGCCGGGACAAAGGCCAGGGGGTTCAGGTCCAGGTCGTCACACAGGATCTCAGCAAACATCTCCGGGGTCATCAGCTTCTCTGGAGGGACATGATAGGACGGTGAGTGGAGGCAGAATGAATGGGGGTGAATCTCAATAGTTTCAGTGGCTTCCTATCCTTGTGTACTTTCCTACAATCACACTGATGTGAAAGAACAAGGCTGTTGAGAGCAGGATTTTTCCTTAGTAGGCATCCATCACTTTGCTTCCATCTAACCAGTGTATTTTCAGATCAGTGCAGATGAAGCAGATGAGACTAGGATAGGAAGGAAGCCACTTTAGCCTATTGAGATATGGCTCAAAGTGCAGCTGTTGAAGCTGTTGCTGGGGAACGATTATATAACCTTATAGGTCATCTTCAGAATAACATCCCAAACTAGAGTTTGTAACTCCAAAGCAGTCTTCCAGCCTAGGGGAATGGAAAGTGGAGCCGTACCGTTCATGTTCCAGGTGAAGGCATCTCGGAGCTTCTGCCCGTCAATCTCCATGTCCAGACGAATGGGAACCAGCACCTCGGCCTGAGACGCATTCTCATGGATCACCGCCGGGTCGTGGTCGTCAAAGCTTCACAGAGGGAAAAGGGGGAGAAGACAAGGTATTAGATTACGCTACAACCTACGAAAAGTAGTTCGTCATTTGTTGTCTTCCCATCATTATTGGAGACATTTAAAGACACTTGTCGTGAATACCAGGCTGTAACATCTACCCCTAATTTAGCTTATACTCGTCTTCAGCTGGACATTGCTAACAAAAGAGGAATCCAATCAGCGTCATTGTACACCGGTGGCCACCAATTGGAATGTATGATGAATTTAATGTTTATCACAGGGGAATTCTGTCTCTCTCTCTCAGCATTCTACTAGCCTGGTGGTCCAGGCTGTTTGTACTTTAGCCAACTGCTTTCTGTGTTCATTCATTTCTTATGCCAACATATGTACGGCTTGACAACGATAGAAGAGTTGGCTCCGCACATATAGAATGGGACCAGGTTGGTATCCTACACATTCTTAGTAAAGTATTTTTAGTTCTGTGTTAGACCCCAGGAAGATTGGACGGCATGACCTCAGCTAATGGGCATCCTAATATAATTCAAATTCAACTAAATTGGGTGTACAGTGAAAGATTCAGTCATCTGTCCACTCTACTGATTTATAAGATATCTTCTGGACTAAATGTCCATCAACACTAGCATTCAGAGATCAGCATTCACAACATGCGCTGTTCAACAGATCACATCTGCGCCAGAGAAAGCAGAGATGTTCACTAGAGTCCTCACACGATGGGTCCTCTGCCAAAACCACAGCAAAAAGAGCAATGCTTTGAGCCAGACATGCTGACTTGTGTGGGCCTTTGAGACAATTACACTGTTGACTGCCTGGCTGGGAAAGTGATAAGAGTAACATTTGTTTTGGACCTGGTGAGGAGGATTTCCAACCCACAGAACAGAGGTAGACCTCAGGGGTAAACAAGTGTTGTTTATTATTACAGTTTAGTCATTTAGCAGACGCTCTTATCCAGAGTTAGTGAGTGCGTACATTTAAAAAAAAATATTTACCCTGGAGCCTTCCATCCAAGCCCTAACAAAGCCAGCATCTCGGGAACACTACACTAATGCCGTCTCCAACAACCTGTATTCTCTATCATTCAATCACCCTTACTAGCATGATAGCATCTTAGGTTATACAAGGTAAAAAGGCATCACAGTGCATTCACCCACAGTTTGCATCGCTCTTTGTTTCTTCAAATAATTGACAGTTATTTAGGCCTACATTTTTCACAAGTCAAGGGTGTCCTATTGCTAAACTAACTTTTCCACCATTAGATAGATAAACAAGATCCTAACATCATTTAGTAAGTACTTTACTTTATTATCTCAACCGTAAACCATCTAGGGAGCTTAGTTACAAACACACACCGCAACTAAACAAAGATGGCATGAAAACAAGAGCTATGGTCAGAGACCGTGACTGTTGAAAACATGGCAACGGCTCTTAATAAAAGCCTAATCTTTCAAGGTCAGCAAAAAGTGCCCAAGTAGGCGGATCTGTTTTGATATGTTCCAGCGACACAATTAAATGCTTTTGTTATCTAGACAAGTGGGCTGTGGGAAGGGGGAGAGAGGGAAGGATGTTCTCATAAACGGTCATGTCAGGAGACAGTGCTTGCTTTCTGGAAGACCATCAGAAAAGCACTTGATGATGAATGAGAAACTACCAATTTAAAAACCAGAGGAGGGAGTTCCAGTGACCCTGGATGACCTCTGTCTCAAGCTGCATCTCCTGACCCCCAAATAGCTTGTGAGCGGGAGGGTGAAACAGACTGCGACTGAACCATTCCTTCATTTTCCATTATGATGAGCAGAGCTGAGATTCATCCGCTAATGTGGACATCTCGGGCCTTTTCTAAAGGCTCCTTTTCACAAGGGAAATGTATCAAGTACCTCAAAGCGTTCAATGAGAAAAAGAGTACAAAGCCACTTTTGCACAAGTCATCAAAATGGCCCTTCTAACCCAGCCTGAAAACTGCAGCGATTATTCTCAATGTAGTTCTTTCTATAAATAAATGGGGCCAATGTGTGACATTGGGATCAACATTTCAAAATCGTTTGAAACAATTTGAATTCATTTTTTTTATGCAGTTCCACGTGTACTTAGAGGAATATATGCAAATTGGCCCATAACTCCACTTACAACAACATAGGCCTTGGACTATACATCCTTTAAGCAGGGTTGATACAGACATTGGCAAGTCAAATTCAAGAACTTTCAGGGAAATTTTCAAGTACTTAATTGTAATTGTCAAGGACCTCAATGTTATACAATTGTGAGGCAGGTAGCCCAGCGGTTAAGAGCATTGGGCCAGTAACCGAAAGGTTGCTGGTTCAAATCCCCGAGCCGACTTGGTGAAAAATCTGTTGATGTGCCCTTGATCATGGCACTTAAACCTAATTAAACCCCCCCCCCCCAAAAAAAAGCATGCAAAAAGCATAACCAAATAAAATAAATGGCAATTACCACTAAGAATAATGCCTTTTTTAGGCCTTGCCAATGCATTGATTTTCACATTCTTATTATATTCAAAATGTGAGAATAATGTAGACTTGCCTGACTAAATAAATTGGATGCATGCCAATTTTTCTATAGCCTATGTGGCCAACACAGGATCACAAAATAAAACCATGAATAGCAGTAGCATTAACCTCACCATCTGTTTTAATAAAGAGAAAGCGACCAAAAAACATATGAAAACATGAACTCATTACCTTGATGCTTTTTCTGTTAAATCTAACGATTACCTGCTGTAAAATCAAGCAGACTACAACAGATGATCAACATAAATTCGCTAGGGATATTAGATCCCATGTGGATCCAGTCACAACTATCTTCACCGGCGTAACAAATGAGACACCAAAATATTCATAAACACCTTTTTTTCAGCACTCAGGCTGTTGTAGCATTGCATGTACCATCACAACAGCTGTTCCTCACTTGACTGTCATTCAGAAAATTGCTTCCTGGATCAGATGATGATGTGTGAAATTATCACGGTGTAATTAAACCGCTTGACACCAAATGTGCATCCAACAAGTATTACACATAATTATTGAAGAACCACGTTAATGAAAGTATCAATTTCAGTTTTAAGTATCAAGGGATGGTGACATTCGGTTAGAAGCATTCTATTTTGCTAAATTTTGGGCGGATTTGTGTGCCCATGAAAACCGTTTCCACCACGTAACATAAGGAGACACGAAACGTTACGAAGTTACACTGCATTTCTGAGATCTACACTGAACAGAAATATAAATGCAACATGCAACAATTTCTAAGATTTGACTGAGTTAGTTCATATAAGGAAATCAGTCAATTGAAATAAATAAATTGATTGTGGCCTGTTGTCTCACTCCTCTTCAATGCCTGTGCGAAGATGCTGGATTTTGGCGGGAACTGGAACACACTGTCGTAAACGTCAATCCAGAGCATCCCAAACATGCTCAATGGGTGACATGTCTGGTGAGTATGCAAGCCATGGAAGAACTGGGACATTTTCAGCTTCCAGGAATTGTGTACAGATTCTTGCGACATGGGGCCGTGCATTATCATGCTGAAACAATGGACCTCAGAATCTCGTCACGGTATCTCTGTGCATTCAAATTGCCATCGATAAAATGCAATTGTGTTTGTTGTCCGTAGCTTATGCCTGCCCATACCATAACCCGACCGCCACCATAGGGCGCTATGTTCACAACGTTGACATCAGCAAACCGCTCGCCCACACAACGCCATACTTCTGCCATCTGCCCGGTACAGTTGAAACCGGGATTCATCCATAAACACTTCTCCAGCGTGCCAGTGGCCATCGAATGTGACTATTTGCCCACTGAAGTCGGTTATGACGCCGAACTGCAGTCAGGTCAAGACCCTGGTGAGGACAACGAGCACCAAGATAAGCTTCCCTGAGATGGTTTCTGACAGTTTGTGCAGAAATTATTCGGTTGTGCAAACCCAGTTTCATCAGCTGTCCGAGTGGCTGGTCTCAGACAATCCCGCAGGTGAAGAAGCCGGGTGTGGAGGTCTGGCATGGTTACACGCGGTCTGCGGTTGTGAGGCCGGTTGGACGTATTGCCAAATTCTATAAAACAACGTTGGAAACATTCTCTGACAAAGCTCTGGTGGACATTCCTGCAGTCAACATGCCAATTGCACGCTCTCTCAAAACAGCGGTGACATTGTGTTGTGTGACAAAACTGCACGTTTTAGAGTGGCCTTTTATTGTCCCAGCACAAGGTACACCTGTGTAATAATAATGCTGTTGAATCAGCTTCTTGATATGCCACACCTGTCAGGTGGATGGATTAACTTGGCAAAGGAGAAATGCTCACTAACGGGGATGTAGACAAATTTGTGCACAAAATGAGAGAAATACGATTTTTGTGCATATGGAAAATTTCTGGGATCTTTTATTTCAGCTCATGAAACATGGGAGCAACACTTTACATGTTGCGTTTATATTTTTGTTCAGTATAGATACAAAAAAAAAACTGTCCGACAGCTAGATCCAGGATTTTTACAGGGTTCAAGTTCAATGTCTAATTTACTGATTAATGGTTAATATATTATATAACGACAACTTGCTTTACCATAAATGCAAGGACAGAAAAGTAATGTTTTAAGTCACAGGATTCAGGACAAATCCGTCAAGACACCAACCATGAGAAAGTTAAACATTTTTAAATCAACTCGTGAATTTTATGGAATAGATCTACAGTGGGGAAAAAAAGTATTTAGTCAGCCACCAATTGTGCAAGTTCTCCCACTTAAAAAGATGAGAGAGGCCTGTAATTTTCATCATAGGTACACGTCAACTATGACAGACAAAATGAGAAAAAGAAATTCCAGAAAATCACATTGTAGGATTTTTAATGAATTTATTGCAAATTATGGTGGAAAATAAGTATTTGGTCAATAACAAAAAAGTTTCTCAATACTTTGTTATATACCCTTTGTTGGCAATGACACAGGTCAAACGTTTTCTGTAAGTCTTCACAAGGTTTTCACACACTGTTGCTGGTATTTTGGCCCATTCCTCCATGCAGATCTCCTCTAGAGCAGTGATGTTTTGGGGCTGTCGCTGGGCAACACGGATTTTCAACTCCCTCCAAAGATTTTCTATGGGGTTGAGATCTGGAGACTGGCTAGGCCACTCCAGGACCTTGAAATGCTTCTTACGAAGCCACTCCTTCGTTGCCCGGGCGGTGTGTTTGGGATCATTGTCTTGCTGAAAGACCCAGCCACGTTTCATCTTCAATGCCCTTGCTGATGGAAGGAGGTTTTCACTCAAAATCTCACGATACATGGCCCCATTCATTCTTTCCTTTACACGGATCAGTCGTCCTGGTCCCTTTGCAGAAAAACAGTCCCAAAGCATGATGTTTCCACCCCCATGCTTCACAGTAGGTATGGTGTTCTTTGGATGCAACTCAGCATTCTTTGTACTCCAAACACGACGAGTTGAGTTTTTACCAAAAAGTTATATTTTGGTTTCATCTGACCATATGACATTCTCCCAATCCTCTTCTGGATCATCCAAATGCACTCTAGCAAACTTCAGACGGGCCTGGACATGTACTGGCTTAAGCAGGGGGACACAGCAGGATTTGAGTCCCTGGCGGCGTAGTGTGTTACTGATGGTAGGCTTTGTTACTTTGGTCCCAGCTCTCTGCAGGTCATTCACTAGGTCCCCCCGTGTGGTTCTGGGATTTTTGCTCACCGTTCTTGTGATCATTTTGACCCCACGGGGTGAGATCTTGCGTGGAGCCCCAGATCGAGGGAGATTATCAGTGGTGTTGTATGTCTTCCATTTCCTAATAATTGCTCCCACAGTTGATTTCTTCAAACCAAGCTGCTTACCTATTGCAGATTCAGTCTTCCCAGCCTGGTGCAGGTCTACAATTTTGTTTCTGGTGTCCTTTGACAGCTCTTTGGTCTTGGCCATAGTGGAGTTTGGAGTGTGACTGTTTGAGGTTGTGGACAGGTGTATTTTATACTGATAACAAGTTCAAACAGGTGCCATTAATACAGGAAACGAGGGGAGGACAGAGGAGCCTCTTAAAGAAGAAGTTACAGGTCTGTGAGAGCCAGAAATCTTGCTTGTTTGTAGGTGACCAAATACTTATTTTCCACCATAATTTGCAAATAAATTCATAAAAAATCCTACAATGTGATTTTCTGGATTTTTTTTCCTCAATTTGTCTGTCATAGTTGACGTGTACCTATGATGATAATTACAGGCATCTCTCATCTTTTTAAGTGGGAGAACTTGCACAATTGGTGGCTGACTAAATACTTTTTTTCCCCACTGTATGTTCCCCCTTATATCTTAAGGTAATGACATTAAACAAATTGGCAGATTATTATTATCAATGACTTATCAACAACTGTAACAAGTTGTCCAGCATAGGAAATCCTCACTGGCACCCTAGTTTATAGAAAGACGCATGTGTATTGTTCTATGAGGAAACGGCACAGGTCCATCTATATAAATGGCACACACGCACTCAGTGTGTGTGTATCAATACAGACACAGCTACTGGCCAATGTGGGTTTACTTTCCTCACCACAGGGGGAAGGTCCTCTTCTTGTCACGGCCCATGCGGTTGCGGTTGATGGTGGTAGAGCATGGCACAGCATCCAGGTGGTGGGAGCTGTTGGGCAGCGTAGGGACCCACTGGCTGTTCCGCTTTGACTTCTGCTCCCTGGGATGGACAGAGAAGTACTAGGGACTTTTGACATGAGGACATATGACGAACAAAACCCATTTGGCTTGGTTCACACTCTAAAAGGCTCTACGCAAACAGAGCGCGTCACACTGTGACACTTTCTGTACTTTGAAAGTTCTATATCTTGAAAACGTGATGCTGATATTCAAAACATTTTGGGACTGTATCAACAGTGGCATAATGAAACAAATACCAAAATATAGTTTTTAAGTGGAATCTTCCTTTAAGGTGCCTGTAGGTAGCTTGAAAATGCTGTTTTGGCATGCATGCTCCCAAAATTTGGTATGAATCATATTGTCATGCACTAGCAGCACTCAGTTCTTTCCTTACGCAGAAGACTACATGGTGAGATAAGAGGGAGGCATTACCTGAGGTACGCCGGTGGCTCTGTGCTTATGGAAACCGCTTTGTACTTCTCATCATTCCCCTCAAAGATCTCTTCACATTCGGACGCCTTCAGCAGAGTCACACTTGTGGCTAAAAGTTGTGTTGTGTTAATAATATCCTAGAGTGCTACTTGCTGTCTGGACTTATAGGCTAAGTGGCTGTGTGAAAAACAATAAAAGACAGTTTTCATAAGATAATGTGTCTGGCAAGAGTATCACTCACCGTGAGATGATGCTACAATCTTCTTCCTTTCCTCTACTGAGGCTAACCTCCTCCAGAGTGATGGGTACCTTTTATACAGAGAGCCCCTGAACATACGCAGGTAGTTTCCAACCTGAGAGGAAGGAAGAGAGTCATTTTTTTTGCGATAACAGAGTTTAGGGCCCAGACAGTCCAGAAACAACCCCAAGACCCTACACTTCATGTAGCTCCCTGTTCACCTACCACTGCGTGGCCGCGCACGACTCCAACACCAACATCAAGTTTGCTGACGACACGACGGTGGTAGGCCTGTTCACTGGCGACGATGAGACAGCCTACAGCAGGGTTTCCCAAACTAGGGGTCGCGACCCCATGTGGGGGTCACCTGATTAGAAAACGTGGTCACGAGATAACATTTGCACTTGGTTCATAGAACCGGGGTTACGTCAGTAACTTCCGGTAGCCGCTAGATGCGGTTGTAATAAACAGACCGGTTTCTGTTTTCTTCCTACAAATGTGGCTCTATCTTTTGAAAGGTTTAAGCTACAAAGTATTATGACCCCATCACTGAAAGATAAGACTCTCAGGAACACGTATGTACTGTTTCCTTCTACTCTGCCCACAAGCCATTAGAACCGAGTGGACAAGACCAGGCACTAAATCAGACTGGGGGACAAGAATATCATCAACGATAATTTTATTTTCTTCCCAATACCATTCTGATGCATTTTAGTCACGTCTTCAGATTTAAATACTGTAAAAAAGAAAAAATGCTGTCAGACTGATTTGTAATAGACTGTCATAGCCCAAATTACAAAAGTAAATGTTGGCCATTGATTACAGAACTTTTTTCACATGATGGGGTCACCCCAAAAAATTTCATATAAAAACGGGGTCGTAGGCCAAAAAAAGTTTGGGAACCCTTGGCCTACAGGGAGGAAGTCAGTGACCCGGCAGTGTGGTGCCAGGTCAACAACCTGTCCCTCAACGTCAGTAAAACCAAGGAGTTTATCGTGGACTACAGGAAACGGGGGTGAGCACGCCTCCATCCACATCGGGTTGAGAGCTTCATCGCGCCTCTTCCCCCTCAGGAGGCTGAGAAGATTTGGCATGGGCCCTCAAAAAGTTATACAACTGCACCATTGAGAGCATATTGACTGGCTGCATCACTGCTTGGTAATGGCAACTGCACCTTCCTCAATCGCATGGCTCTACAGAGTGGTGCGGACAGCCCAGTAAATCACTGTGGCCGAGCTCCCTGCCATCAGGATATTTTATTGACTCTACTGACTCACGTACACTTCATTTGCTCACACACATTAATAATGACTTATCACACGCACATACAATCATCATATTCGCGGCTGTCTAATCATATAGCCTGATGCCTAGTCACCTTACCTCTATACATGTCTACCTCTCCCACGCCAGTATCCCTGCGCATTGTAAATATGGTATTGGCACTGACTCTGTATAGCGCACTTACTTTCTCGTGTTCGTCCCTTTCATATTTGTCATGTGTTTTTGTTAGAACCACCCAGCGCACAACTCCAGACCACACAAAGTCACAACAATAACTGACTTGGCTAACGTTAACTAGTAAGCAGTTTGTCCACATTGGCATTGCATTGGTCAATAGTACGCTCACTTGATTTTGTGCTTATTACTACAACAATAGACATCCTAGACTACACTGTAATTGCATGCGAGCTTGACAGTGCTCGACAACTAGCTAGACATTATTCATTCTGCAAAGCGGTATGTTTTGCTAGCTATGAGATTTAACGTTAGCTAACTAGCTTTCATGACAGACAACAATGGCGCAGGCTGATGGCCAAAATGCTGTATTGCTAGATAAATATTTCCGTTAGCATACAGCTCATACACACCTCTGATCCAACCATGTAAAAGTCTCCATCTTGCTCTAGCTGCAATTTAATCGGCTTCTGGCCAAAGGTTTTGCTTAACGCCATTTTCACAATAGATAGCTAAGCTAAGTAGCTAACAGTAACAAAGCTGCACAACGCATGCTCAAATGGGCGTGTTGAAAAGCGTCACTTCTGCGCGCACAAAGGTGTAATACAATTTCAGCCAAACGTTTTCTTACGGTATCATGTATCACTTCTGTGGAGTGTTGTTGTTGGTCAAATACAACTTGTGCAGCTGTGCATTTGTTAAAGTGTCAGCTTACTCTTTGGGCGATTGTCAATTTGGGACAGTTTTGCTTATATCAGTAATTCCTCCAATAATAATTTAATTTATTTGAATCAATGTTCCTCATATTCCCCCCTCATAAACTACTACATTTCTTCCCTGTCTACTGTACTCTTGGGAAAAGGTAGGTAAAGTAAAATTCTCCTGAACAAAATCATCAAAGATTTTAGATTAGAAGTTTAATAGTCACATGTACATGATTGAAGGTGTACATCTTAAACCACGAGCTCCAACAATGCAGGTCAAAGTGAAAAAAAAAAAATACATGTAATAATAAAGAATATAAATAAAAGATATACGTATTAACACTAACAATGATAAATGTCCATTGGGGTGTGGGCAGGGTAAATGTCTGTTGAGGGGGACAGGGGGATGGGCAGGAGCACAGATAATGAGTTTATATGGTTTTAAGTAACCTAATTTATGTCCCTCTAACTGCCCTGGATGCCTCTGCTGATGCTACAGCTATTGTATGCAGTAATCATGTGCCTGTGAACCAGATTTATAATAATAATAATAAAAATATTTATACTGTTAGCACTGAGCCGGTGTGCCCTAGGAGGAAGTCCACTGTGTGCAGCTCATCCTGCACTAACATAAATAACATGAGCACATCTACTGCTGCTAAGCTTCCCAGTAAAGCAATAAAAACAAGTAAGCATCCTAGAAGAAAAGTGCTCAAAATAGCCCACGTTAACATATGTAGCTTAATTGGTAGAGCATGGCACTTGTAACGCCAGGGTAGTGGGTTCGATCCCCGGGACCACCCATACGTAAAAATGGATGCACGCATGACTGTAAGTCGCTTTGGATAAAAGCGTCTGCTAAATGGCATATTATTATATTATAAATCAATAATTTCTTAGTAACAGATGACATTCATAGTCTTACACAGAAAGCGGCACAGGTCCTAATACATTTACATTTAACATTTAAGTCATTTAGTAGATGCTCTTATCCAGAGCGACTTACTAATTGGTGCATTCAACTTAGGATAGCCAGTGGGACAACCACATCTTGATCATAGTAAGTACACTTCTTCAAACAAGCAGCTGTGAGCTAAGTCAGTGCAATCAGGGACAATAAGTACATTTCTTTAACAAGTCAGTGCTAGCAGGTGAAATAAGTCAGGTGTTAGTTTAGACAAAAGACAGTGGTAGTAAAGGGGGGTAGAAGGATTACTATTATGCTATTCCAGGTATTCCTTAAAGAGGTAGGGTTTCAAGTGTCTCCGGAAGATGGTCAGTGACTCCGCTGTCCTGGCGTCGTGGGGGAGCTTGTTCCACCATTGGGGTGCCAGAGCAGCGAATAGCTTTGACTGGGCTGAGCGGGAACTGTGCCTCCGTAGAGGCCAGAGGTGGATGAACGTAGTGCCCTCGTTTGGGTGTAGGGTCTGATCAGAGCCTGAAGGTAAGGAGGTGCCGTTCCCCTCACAGCTCCGTAGGCAAGCACCATGGTTTTGTTGTAGATGCGAGCTTCAACTGGAAGCCAGTGGTGTGCGGAGGAGCGGGGTGACGTGAGAGAACTTGGGAAGGCCGAACACCAGACGGGCTGCGGCGTTCTGGATAAGTTGCAGGGGTTGAATGGCACAGGCAGGGAGCCCAGCCAACAGCGAGTTGCAGTAATCCAGACGGGAGATGACAAGTGCCTGGATTAGGACCTGTGCCGCTTTCTGTGTAAGGTAGGGTCGTACTCTGCGAATGTTGTAGAGCATGAACCTGCAGGATCGGGTCACCGCTTTGATGTTAGCAGAGAACGACAGAGAACCAGGGTCACGCCAAGGTTCTTTGCACTCTGGGAGGAGGACACAATGGAGTTGTCAACTGTGATGGCGAGATCATGGAGCGGGCAGTCCTTCCCGGGAGGAAGAGCAGCTACGTCTTGCCGAGGTTCAGCTTGAGGTGGGGATCCGACATCCACACTGATATGTCTCACAGACATGCAGAGATGCGATTCGCCACCTGGTTATCAGAAGGGGGAAAGGAGAAAATTAATTGTGTGTCGTCTGCGTAGCAACAATAGGAGAGACCATGTGAGGATATGACAGAGCCAAGTGACTTAGTGTATAGAGAGAATAGGAGAGGGCCTAGAACTGAGCCCTGGGGGACACCAGTGGTGAGAGCACGTGGTGCGGAGACAGATTCTCGCCACGCCACCTAGTAGGAGCGACCTGTCAGGTAGGACGCAATCCAAGAGTGAGCAGCACCGGAGATGCCCAACTCGGAGAGGGTGGAGAGGAGGATCTGATGGTTCACAGTATCAAAGGCAGCAGGTAGGTCTAGAAGGATAAGAGCAGAGGAGAGAGAGGTAGCTTTGGCAGTGCGGAGAGCCTCCGTGACACAGAGAAGAGCAGTCTCAGTTGAATGACCAGTCTTGAAACCTGACTGGTTAGGATCAAGAATGTCATTCTGAGAGAGATAGCAGGAGAGTTGGCTAGAGATGCTCAAGAGTTTTGGAGAAAAAAGAAAGGGATACTGGTCTGTAGTTGTTGACATCGGAGGGATCGAGTGTAGGTTTTTTGAGGAGGGGTGCAACTCTCGCCCTCTTGAAGATGGAAGGGACATAGCCAGCGGTCAAGGATGAGTTGATGAGCGAGGTGAGGTAAGGGAGAAGGTCTCCGGAAATGGTCTGGAGAAGAGATGAGGGAATAGGGTCAAGCGGGCAGGTTGTTGGGCCGTCACAAGTCGCAAGATTCCATCTGGAGAGAGAGGGGAGAAAGAAGTCAAAGCATAGGGTAGGGCCGTGTGAGCAGGACCCGTGGTGTCATTTGACTTAATAAATGAGGATCGGATGTCGTCAACCTTCTTTTCAAAATGGTTGACGAAGTCATCCACAGAGAGGGAAGAGGGAGGGGGAGGAGGATTCAGCAGGGAGGAGAAGGTGGCAAAGAGCTTCCTAGGGTTAGAGGCAGAGGCTTGACATTTGGAGTGGTAGAAAGTGGCTTTAGCAGCAGAAACAGAGGAAGAAAAAGTAGAGAGGAGGGAGTGAAAAGATGACAGGTTCCTCAGGGAGTCTAGTTTTCCTCCATTTCCGCTCGGCTGCCCGGAGCCCTGTTCTGTGAGCTCGTAATGAGTCGTCAAGCCACGGAGCAGGAGGGGAGGACCGAGCCGGCCGGGAGGATAGGGGACATAGAGAGTCAAAAGATGCAGAAAGGGAGGAGAGGAGGGTCGAGGAGGCAGAATCAGGAGACCAGAGGGAGAAGGATTTAGCAGAGGGAAGAGATGATAGGATGGAAGAAGAGAGAGTAGCGGGAGAGAGAGAGTGAAGGTTGCGACGGCGCATTACCATCTGAGTAGGGGCAGAGTGAGTAGTGATGGAGGAGAGCGAGAGAGAACAGGATACAAAGTAGTGGTCGGAGACTTGGAGGGGAGTTGCAGTGAGATTAGTAGAAGAACAGCATCTAATAAAGATGAGGTCAAGTGTATTGCCTGCCTTGTGAGTGGGGGGGGGGGGGGGGGGACGGGGGGGGACGGTGAGAGGGTGAGGTCAAAAGAGGAAAGGAGTGGAAAGAAGGAGGCAGAGAAAAATGAGTCGAAGGCAGACGTCGGCAGGTTAAAGTCACCCAGAACTGTGAGGGGTGAGCCATCCTCAGGAAAGGAACTTATCAAGGTGTCAAGCTCATTGATGAACTCTCCAAGGGAACCTGGAGGGCAATAAATGACAAGGATGTTAAGCTTGAATGGGCTAGTGACTGTGACAGCATGGAATTCAAATGAGGAGATAAACAGATGGGTCCGGGGGAAAAGAGAGAGTGTCCACTTGGGAGAGATGAGGATTCCTGTGCCACCGCTGCGCTGACCAGATGCTCTCGGGGAATGCGAGAACACATGATCAGACGAGGAAAGAGCAGTAGGAGTAGCAGTGTTTTCTGTGGTAATCCATGTTTCCGTCAGCGCCAAGAAGTCGAGAGACTGGAGGGTAGCATAGGCTGAGATGAACTCTGTCTTGTTGGCCGCAGAACGGCAGTTCCAGAGGCTGCTGGAGACCTGGAACTCCACGTGGGTCGTACGCGCAGGGACCACCAGATTAGAGTGGTAGCAGCCACGCGGTGTGAAGCGTTTGTATGGCCTGTGCAGAGAGGAGAGAACAGGGATAGACAGACACATAGTTGACAGGCTACAGAAAAGGCTACAATAATGCAAAAGAGATCGGAATGAAATTAACTAAACATCTGGGGAAGCGAGAGAGCGGGGCCTCCCTCGACTAACTCCCCGTAGAACAACTTGGCAGAACTGTCTTTGTTTCAGGGACAGTCTTCGTTTTGGGGACAGCTGCCGCAGACAGCTGCCGCTGAACAAAGAGGTTGTGCTAATAACACTAAGCTAATTGCCTAGCACAAGTGTAGCCACTCCCCCTCCTATTGAGTTGTAATCTGCAGAGAACAAAAGAAGTGGCTGGACCTGCGTCCAGTGTGAATGGTTAGCAATCACTTCTTAAGCAGACTGGGTAGCTTACTAACTATGACAGACAGACAGAACCAACACAGTTTACAAGTTAAAACAATTCTACCTAAAGAATCAAGCAGGATCCTTCCAAGACTATTAGTTGAATTAGCTGGCTGGCTAGCTAACGTTACCTGTATAATCTGTGTAGTAATATTATTCCTATCTCAGTGTCACGACTTCCTCCGAAGCTGCCTCCTTTCCTTGTTCGGGCAGGCTTCTAGCCACTGCCGCTCATCATTCCATTTGTTTTGTCTTGTTTATTACACACACCTGGTTCATATCCCCTCATCAGTACCTGTATAAGAGTTCCCTCCGCCCCCTTGTCTTTGTGTGTGATTGGTTATTGTGGAGGATAGAGAAGCTCAGTGGAGCTCC